GCTCCTGGGCGCAACCCAAGTCTTAGCTGGTTGTTGCAGTGCAGCAGGGTGGTCGAAACCTGGTACCCGTCTCCCTGTGTATTTGAACGGTGGGTATTCAGCTCGTGCGCAACGTTGGCACAGCTCTGTATTCGGGTAGATGGCAGTGTTGTTCAGCGGGCCACGTCGGCCGTGAGTATAGACGGGGTGGATCTCTCGGTGGTGTTGCCAGCCCGTGAATGAATTGTACAACGATATGTAAATATGCTAGCTCTTGTCACTTACGTTTGGCTCAGCACGCAGTTTCATTGTTCACATTTGCTGACGTGCAGATGCGTGTGACGTCTCACTGAGAGGCTTTGCATGTTGTAGGACTCACCCGTGTGTCCTCCCATACGAAGCGTAAAAAGCCAAGGAGCGAGGTAATACGCTGACGCGACGAGATAATGCCACGTGACCAACCGCGGCATCATAACGGATGGCTCAGTATTGTTAGGTCGGTGCATATACTGGAGCTTATGCCTTGGGCAACCTAGTTAACCAACGCATTTACCATTAGGTTATGGTCGGTGAGCTATGAGGCAACTGCTATGCAGCCAATGCTCAACCGCGTCACAGCCCGTGAGAATGACAGGCAATGGTCGTTTATCGCCCAGTTGCAATCCAACGCATCGAGTTACATTTCTGCAAGCTTAGCACATCTCGGTGGTGTTGCCGGCCCGTGAATGAATTATACAACGATATGTAAATGTATCTAGCTTTTGTCACTTACGTTCGGCTCAGCATGCAGTTTCATCGTTCACATTTGCTGACGTGCAGATGCGTGTGACGTCTCACTGGGAGGGTTTGCATGTTGTAGGACTCACCCGTGTGTCCTCCCATACGAAGCGTAAAAAGCCAAGGAGCGAGGTAATACGCTGACGCGACGAGATAATGCCACGTGACCAACCGCGGCATCATAACGGATGGCTCAGTATTGTTAGGTCGGTGCATATACTGGAGCTTATGCCTTGGGCAACCTAGTTAACCAACGCATTTACCATGAGGTTATGGTCGGTGAGGTATGAGGCAACTGCTATGCAGCCATTGCTCAACCGCGTAATAGCCCGTGAGAATGACAGGCAATGGTCGTTTATCGCCCAGTTGCAATCCAACGCATCGAGTTACATTTCTGCAAGCTTAGCACAGCCGTAGCATTTGCCCGACTGCCTGGTCACATGATTTATGCGAACCCACCGATATTCTACCATCTCTCTCCCAAGCGTGTGGGTTGAGCAAAGCAGTCGGGGAAGACGCGTGGACGCAGGAATAGCATTATACCCCGCATGCAGCTGTCCTTTGCTTCTTTAGTCTCCCACCTGCTGCTGCTGCTGACTCTGATGCTGGTGCTGCTGGCTCTTGGGCTGTTCCATCAGATGCAGCAGCAGCCGTTGCGTCTCCCTATGCTGCTGGTGTTTCTGCAGGTGCCGCGGTTGCTACTGTATCAACTGCAGCAGCAGCAGATACAGAGGCAACAGCAGCAACAACTGCAGCAGCAGCAGATACAGAGGCAACAGCAGCAGTCTCCTCTACTGCTGCTGATTTCTTACCAACACGTTTGCGCAGCTTCATAAAAGGGGCAGTTGGTGCAGGGCGTGAGGGAGGTTGGTGCACGGTAGCTGCGTCTCTGCGCGTTTTGACTCTGGACATTCAGGAAGTGAGTATTGGCCGCATCAGCGGAGCGGTTGAACGGTGAGTGACAACGTGATCGCCCTATCGAATGTTGCGATGCTCGCAGCTGACCTGTCTTGCATGTTGCGAAGCAGACATCTCTCCAATGGAGTTTGGGCGTAATTCGGACCACCTGTATTCATGTCGTTTGACTGGCAGATGTCTAAGATGCGGCTGTGCTGGCCTAAGCAGCAGGTGCACATGGTAGGTAGCAGAGCGGCGCACTCATGCGTCACTGAAGACGGCCCGTTAGAGTTAGGTCGGTGTATGCACGGTATCGGGTGCATCAATGAACATAACCCGCACTTATGCCATCGGTTTGGAGGTGAGGGGGGTGTGAGGTGCTGTGACGGCATCAGTTAACTATGTCACAGGCCGTGAGCGGCGTTTGCCTGCAGGCCACCAAACGGTGCAATTTTGCTAACGCCGCGGCACTTGCGAGACTGCTCGAACACATACGATGTACGACTCCACCGGCGACATAACCATCGCTCTCGGCTAGGTGCTTTGTGAGCAACGCAACTGGATGCGATTCAGAGAAAGCCTCAGTTAGTTGGTGTTGGCAACGGAGAAAGCTGGAGCAGGGGACCACCTTCCTGAGTCCGCCTTCTGAGATCGTCGGCGTTGGGCATACAGCAGGTACGCAAGAGCACCATGGATATATATTCGAGAGTGCAGCATTGTCGTGGGACTTGCCCCACTTTATGGTGAACGACACCCTAAAGAATCATTCGGTCGGGGAGGCCATTTCCGCTATTCCATTGAAGGCACAACCACACGTATACCAGCATATTGCGAGCGGGTGAGGTTTGGAGGTACAAGGATGCAGCCAGTCTTTGGCAACGTGGCAGACGGTGAGATTGATTGTAATAGGGCGAATATGAGTTGTCGGTAGGAAGCTTAGCTGTACTGAAATATAGTACAAGGTGCTCTGTAGACCCCTACCTACTCGGTGTTCATCAATATCTATGACATTATTTTGCATTTGGACTCACGAGCCTACGCAGCCACTGAGTACAGTACCAGTTACGCAGAAAGAGCGTCCCAATATAGTTGTGCGCAAGACACCTTCCGTGAGTTCCGGCGTTGACAGTAGTTACTGCCGGTCTCCTCGCCTTTTGTCGCATGTGGCGTTTGATGCTTCACATGATATAACGACACCGCCGTTGCTACAGCTCTCGGAAAGTGTATGGATAAAATGCAACAGTTACTTGGCGCACTAGAACGTATGTAGCGACCTTAGCAAACGTGCCAGCTTGAGCGTAATTGCAGCAGGTTGGCATGCCAATAGGGCGCCTTTTGTTGCCTGTGGCTCTGTTGCCTTCGGACACAGTTGTATTCTGCCAGAGAAGGTTTTTGCTTCCGTTCACAGTTGATTAGCCTTAAGGGGCGCGCTGATAAGACCGCACGCCGCTGGGGATTGCTTACAAGGTAACTACACCAATTGCGTTTTTCTGAAAACATGGATTTGGGACAAAATGCACTGGTGCGAGATATTGCAATGCCACGGACGTTTCTGCGATGCTCGTGTGGGTTTGCATTTGGTCAGTGGAGGTGATTGTTTGGATGTTTTTTGCTGATGTGCTGCTCACAGCTTAATGGTCGCTAGGGGGAGGTACCGGCGTAGACGTATTTTGATCCTGCACTTGTGTGAAGTGTCGTCTTGAGTTTTGGGTCCTCTGATGGCAATCATTGACCCCCGCAGCTTGCGCAATAGATACCATATGTCGCCTAATGAATGCGAACTACAGGCCATTGAATCAGAGGACCCAAAACTCGCCTGGGAACGCTTGGTTCAAAGCGTAGATATCTGGGTAGTCACCGTCTATGAAATAGCTTCGTAGCAAAGTGGCGGCACTTCTTGGGACAGGCTAAGGTTTATTGTAGCATATTTCGGTTTGTGCTGAAGATGAATACTGGCCACTGGCTCCCAATTTCCTGTTGCGCTGGTTTCCTAGGCCAACGCCCAGTTTTATGGCTATCACGGCGGTGTGGTTACTCGTGAAAATTGCAGCGCATGACACTGGCATAGGCACTTGGGACACACATTTCCTAGCTGGCAGTAACGTGTAACATTTGGGATTGGCTACGCTACGTTTCAGGATCACTTACAGCGTTTTTGCACAGCTCTCTGCTTGTACTCTGACTCACAGGAAATGTTGCCATTTTTTGGCTGTCTCCATGGAGTTACTGTTGGTACCGTTTTATCAGAATGCATCGTCGGTCCATCGGTTTGTTTGGCTCTTGATGATAAAAATATGCAGACTGTAAGCTTTTCGCCTCGTTCACTGAAAACGAGTTAGGTTTGACGTTCCAGCGTCCCCTTGCGCGAACAGAAGAGCCCAAACGTTTTGCACGGCTAGCTACGTGTTTGCTGTTACACGCCACAGAAATGTTGACCTGCATAGCTGAGTATCACAAAACAACATAGCTAGTGAGCCATTCTCTGCAGACGATTTCAAGCACAATGAGTTTTGTAATATATTCACAATGTAAACAGTGAAGGGTGGTGACGATTTACGCTAAGCTAATCCACAGCGTATAGGATGCTGCGTCAACGAACTATTCTGCATTTAAAGGCAGAAAAAGCACAAATATGACCTGTTAGTTTGACCTTCAGACGGTGCGTGGACTATCCCTCCTGTTGATGGCACAGGGGGGCTACTCCGCGTAAATGGGAACCAGAAGGTTTGGAGATGAATCCACTCGATACTGGGCAGAGCGTACGTGCCGGTAGACATACGCCCCGCCTTAGCTACGATTGGAAAGGCAAGGTGTCAGTTTGCCGCATACATTACGTGCCTGCATTATGTCTATACATTGTTCGGGTGCGCGCGGAGCAAGGTAGGGTGCAGCCAGCACTTTAGTAAGTTGCATAGAGGCCTGAGGAAACACACAGATGCGCGAACAGGCAAATCAGGGCAGCCGATGCGCCTTCGTGATATAGCGCGGCTGCCGAATTGCACCAGCACGTGCGTTCTGCTGGTCCATTCATGATATTGACTGGTCCTGGAACGTGCAGTCCGCCTGGATGTGTTGGATCCACTGTTGGCACAGATTCTTACGGTTGTTTATGGACTGAGGAGCAGAGACTACTACCTTCTTCGTTGATGCAGAAGGTCCCTAGCAAAAGAGGCTACTTTCATTTAATTTTGCAGACGGAAGTATTGTTACTTGACTACCTATACGTAGCGCTTGAAGGTGGTCGAAAGTAACTTCATCCTCGATCAGTTGGTAAGCCCCGCGGTACTGGCAACCACGGGAATTTACGTGCCGGATCACCTCCGCGAAGGAGGCATTATTTTGAAGAAGACCATAATTACAGTATTAAGAATACGGCGCGTAAATGATTGTACTGATAAGTAAATATTCTCCGCCGGAGCGAGTGGAAAAGGATGTAACTTCTCCCCTCGTTCCGGGGCTGATTATTTACAACTAACTGTCATGCATGGGGCGCCAAGGCTTCAGGCTGGCTCTAGCTTCTGCACCTGCAAAGGACCCCACGGAACCGCGGCAAGGCGAGACGCCAGCTTTGCTCAAGTTCGCAGTGCCGAAAACTCTTATGAATCGATTATAAATTCGCCGCTGCATGCAGATCCATGGCATGTATAACGGTCTAACTGCAAGTACTTCGGCTGCCTTCAATTTGCCGGAACGGGCTCATATCTAAGCTAGACGGCATCACACAACTTGCAGCAGCAGAAGCCTTCACTACTCAGTGTGCCATGTTGTAACCCCCTGATGCGCGCTGTACGTTCAGCCTGTAAGCTTCTGATATGTCTAACCAAAACGTACAAAAGTTTAGATTGACGCCCCTTGCCCATCGGGAGATTTTGGTCTCTCACAAGGGATACATCATTTGTGTGGTAGCCACCCATAATAATAACCGTTTCCTTCTAGTCTTCTGCAAGGCACATGTAACCCGTGCCAGTAAGAGTGGACGCAAGTCGACTTGACGGGCCTCCAGCAAGTAAGGTCTGGCCAACTGCATCGGCCACAAACTGCTCAATTCATCTTTTTGCTAGGTGACGTAGGATAAAGCAGTAGATCGGATTCAGCATTTCAAGAACGCTGTGTTCATGCCAAGCAGATTGGCTAGTATGCTATGCTCGCGCATGCGGAGGAACGCGCACTTCTGGAGCTTTACATGCCAAGCAAAACACGGATTCGACGGAGCCGCGTGGTCCACTCTTCTTTCAATCAAGTATTGGCGTCCTGCTGCGTATTCACGCCAAAGGCTGAGTTGAGGCCAGTGTTAAATGAGACCCCGAACTCGTCAACTCCACCACACCTCGGGTAAACTGCTGCAAAGTAGTTTAGGCTAGCTTAGCTCAACGTCCTTTCCAGAAACAAAAGCTCAACTGGCAGTTATTCTTGGAGTGCGCCTGGGGAGTTACGGGATGGAGCCAGGACAGCAGCTGCAGCTCACGGAGTTGTTTCGCCAGAGCGTGGTAGGAACGAAAGCCATTTTTCTTAAGGCTAGGAAACTTCTCACCGCAACAGAATATCACGCTGGCTGACGCGTGCGAGTTTTGATGACAGAAAGTACGGCCCACGAGGTAGATGAGCTCCACGGAAGTCTAACCAATGACCGTGCCAGCACGCACACAGTTAGCTGCAACACGTTGAAAAGTCATTGGCCAATTGTAATGTGATGGCCTGTAACAACTGCACCAACCCTGACATGAAGTACTTATGTTTGCGTTGTGGACGGGCAAGCTTTATGGGCCAATGCAGACAGTAGGTGCTCCACAGGTGTGACAGGAGTGACAAGTGTAAGTGTTTGTGTGTGTGTGTGTGTGTGTGTGTGTGTGTGTGTGTGTGTGTGTGTGTGTGTGTGTGT